AGCTAGATCATGCAGGGCTTTTCAGGACATGGTAAGGGCTTCAGGTTTTATTTTAAGAGTAATAAGGGGCCACTGGATGGTTTTGAGATGGGGGGCAAAGTAATCTAAAGTGGTTACTCTGGCTACACGTGGAGGGTAAGAAATAAGAATCAGGGCTAGGAAGCTGGTGCAGAAAACCAGTGTAAGGTGATGGTGGAGATGGTGACAAGTAGTAGAATTCAAGACATATTTTGAAGGGCTGGCCGAGTGGCGCAATGGTTAAGAACTGGCTTGGGATGCCAGAGGGCCCTGGTTCGGATCCCACATATGAGGGCCAGTGACACTGCCCTCCACAGCTAAGATGCTGAACAACAGCTCAACCTGGAGCTGGGCTGCTGTGAATCACTGGCGACGGCGTAGGCTGCAGTCCCTGTGGCAGTGGGTTGCCATGGGCTACCGTATGTAGCCAGCAGCCAGCGTGAGCGGCCAGCAGCCACTGTGAGCGGCCATCCAGAGGCCGGTGACTGATCTGCCTCATCCAGGAAGAGCACAATGATGGTGCCAACTTGGGCCAGTGAAGCAACGTCCTCCACAACTAAACTGAAGAACAAAAGGACAGCAACTTGTCTGTTCCCTTTCCCCTAATTCCCCAATAAAAATCTTAAAAAAAAAGAGACATATTTTGAAGATGGAGGTCACGGGATTTGGAGATAGACTAAATGTGAGGCGAGAGCAAAAGGCGTCAAGGACAATTCCAAGGTGTTTGGCTTGAGAAACTGAGTAAATGCTGGTGCTATATAATGATATGGGGGCCACTGGGGAGGAGTGGGTGTTTTGTTTTTTAAGGGGCATAGTGGATGGTGGTGGCACCCAGCCCACACCCATCAGGCCTTACCACATCATTGCACACTGGTCGACTCCACCTGCGAGCACTTGCATCTCTTTGTGTGGGACCTTTCTCCCAAGCTGCAGAAACCCCTCTGTGTGCCCAGCACACCTCATGGGAGCATGGGAGCGGCCCTCAATCACTGACACTCAGAAGCTGGTGTATAAATACCCCTTGGGTGGGATGGGGGGACCGTTGGGTAATTCTGACATATGTGCCCTATACCATTTCCTGGGGTTCACCAGTGGGATTAAGTTCCAGTCCCCACAGTAGCAGCTAGTTTGATAACATATCCTTTATTGGCCTTTTCCCCCATCCAGCTCATGCTCCCTAATTCCCTACCAATAGTTCCTGCACCTTCCAAACAAATTACCTACACTTGAATCCTTGATTCTGGGTCTGGTCTGGGGGAGTCCAAACTAAAACAGGAAACACAGTAATATCTTCCGATTCCTTACACCCCATTCTTCTTCACTGTGCTGGTCTCCCCCGGTCACTCTTTCTCACTGCCTCTATCAGAACAACAGTAGCAGGGTCAAGATGATCAGCAAACCTCAGTCACGGCTGGTAGGGACAACACGGAGTAATAAGAATAAACCAGAGCGCCAGCTGATCTCCCCATCCTGACCCCTAGGCCTGCTAACAGTCACTTTGCCATTTCTTTCCGACCACTGCGTGCAGCTGACTCACCTTGCTGTCGCATTTTCAAAACCAACACGGAACAGAAAGAACAATGATCTAAGAGCATCTCGGGAGATGTCAAAATGGAAGAAGCAGGAGAATGACGGACCTTTTGTTCCCTCCTTCCCTGGACAGTTCAGCAAATGCCCTGTGACATGCAGGCCACAGACTATTAGCAGCAGCAGCGTCAAATGCTATTTATTATTGACTCTAAGAGGAACTAAACTCTCTCATCAAAAGCCAGGGGGCAGGGACCCGACTTGCCGTATGCCATATCTCATAGGGAAGCGTGCTTGTTTATACAGTAGCATTTTCTATGTCACAAATGATTCAGAATCCTCACTTTCCACTTTCCTTCTGTTGACATGGATTGACTGTGGGGTAGGGTGGGGGTGGGGTTTAAAAAAGCAAAAGCTGCACAAAGATCCTTTGGTTAGAGCAAAACACACTTGCTAAAATGAACTGCTGTCAGTGTCCATCAGGCACCGTGTAAACATGATCATCCTTTCTGCAAACGAGAAGATAACAGCAGCACAGTCCTGTCGGTGGTGAGGATGAGGAATCCATACCCCTGGTGTATCAAGAGGGACTGAAGACGGGGTTTCAGCATCAGCTGGACCTGGGATTCAACTCCCGGTTAGCCATCGACTAGCTGGTGACTTTGGGCATGTTATTTAGCCTCTTTGAGCCTTGGTCTCCTCATGAGCTGGGTGGACAGAATATGCCTACTTCATAGGGTGTCTGGGATGAATACAGACCAACAACAAGCAAAGCAAGCATGCCATCCATATTAGTTTTCTTCTCTGGTGAACTATTTGTAGCTGAAGGCAAGCTGGCAAAATCCATCCCGACTCAATATAAGACCTGAGAAAAACCAGCTCAGTGATTTTCCATGCAGGGGAGTTGCCTCTCAGAAGAAAAGGATGACACCAATGCGTCAAGGTTCTTCCCCAGGCCTCTGTGCCCCTTCCAAAGGCTTCCTGTACTGTAGCATGAGCTCATGTGTCTTACACATCTATACCCTCAGCACTGATCACAGTGTTTGGCATGCAGCAGGGGAGCAAGGGTGGAAGTCGCACACTTTTGAGTTAGACAGGCCTGAGTTCAAGTCCCAATCCTGCTACTTGCCTTTACTTCCTTAAGCCTCAGAATCCTTATCTGTGAAATGGGTAAAAATATCTGCTACAAAGTGTAATGCATATGAACTGACATAATAACAGATGGAGAGCCAAATACAGTGCCTGACAAATTGAAGACACTCAAAGTTAGCCCTTATTGAAAAACATTTGCTGAATGAATTCATGGATAAAAAGAACCCCATTCAATTAACAATATACACACCCCCTGCTCTCTCCACAATAGAAACATGGCATACCACATTTTCCTTTATGGATATCAATATGTAGCCAGAGTTCTCTTTTTACAGTGGCAAAGGTTTCTTCCAGCTCTGACTTAGTGCAGCATAATCACAGCAAACTCTTGTCTGTTCTTGGGATGTGCATGGAACAAAACACACTGCCCACCCCCACCTCCATCCCAACACTCACACGGAAGGAAAATCTGGTTACAAATAGTGCTGAGAGGGTCTCACAGCCTCTCCCCCCAAATATATTAATTACAAATGGAATTTTTCACTTCACAGCAAAAAACCTGACAGACATCACCTTCACTACGTGATCAAGGTCAACATCACCAGTGAGAAACAGACTGGCATTCTGGACCCCTTACTATGGTACATGAGGACACAGCACTTCTGCGGTTTTCGTGCAAAAACGTCCAAACCCCAGTCTAATCATGAGAAAACATTAGGCACATCCAAATCAAGGGACAGTCTACAAAATAATTGACCAGTACTCTTCAAAAGTGTCAAGGTCATAAAAGACAAGGAAGTAATGAGGAACTGGCACAGATTGGAGTCTAAGGAGACATGAAAACTCAATGCAGTGTGGGACACTCAACCAGATCTGAATCAAGTCTGCCATTCAGTTTTTGGGGTTTTTTTAATGTCAAGGGAAGCCTCAAAGGGAAAAAGCATTAACCAAGGTCCAACTGAGGGACACATGGAAGAGAGAAGGCTAATCCCAGGAATTTGACCAAATGGAGGTGAGAAAGATTTAGGGAAGGATTACGGTCTAAGCTCCATTTTCTTTAAACCTGAGCACCAATGGCACACTTTCTCTCCTTCGTCCCTATGCCCTCAAATCCAACCTGGTGTAGGAGAATAAATCTGAGCCACTTCAGCATAGTCTCACAGCAGCACAATTTGCTCTTGACATTTTCCTGAGTTACCAATATATTAGATGGCATAATATGGCAAAGTGCTTTTTAGGCAAAATGCATCATTTAAGTGGAATCACCAAATTGGGATGTAGCCTTAAGTTCAAGGTTTTCTAAAAAGTAAGCCCCTTGGGCCGGCCGAGTGGCGCGATGGTTAAGGACTCGCTTGGGATGCCAGAGGGCCCCGGTTCGGATCCCACATATGAGGGCCAGTGACACTGCCCTCTACAGCTAAGATGCTGAACAACAGCTCAACCTGGAGCTGGGCTGCCATGAGTCGCCGGCGACAGCGTAGGCTGCAGTCCCTGTGGCAGTGGGTTGCCGTGGGCTACCGTGTGTAGCCAGCAGCCAGCGTGAGCGGCCGTCCAGAAGCCGGCGACTGATCCGCCTCGCCCTGGAAGAGCGCAGTGATGGTGCCAACTTGGGCAAGTGAAGCAACGTCCTCCACAACTAGATTGAAGAACAAAACGACAGCAACTTGTCTGTTCCTCTTCCCCCAATTCCCCAGCACTGTTCCCATCCCCCCAATTCCCCAATAAAAATCTAAAAAAAAAAAAAAAGTAAGCCCCTTGCTCCTCAAGGAGGAGAAAACCCCATCTACCCGATTTCAGTGAAGTTTGAGTTTTAAAATTACACAGCAGTTCAAGTAAGGCTTTCACTTTATATTTGAGGGAAAACTGGGACCCATGGAGGGAAGATTGCTCGGGCTCACCCCATGGGATGACTTAACAGAGCCACTGCAGGATGCCATGCTGCCTCCTCCACGCTGCTAGAATTTACTGCAGCCTCACTGTTCTGGCCAAGAATGAGGCCAGCTTACAAGTATATCACAGCAGTAGACACATGGGCCCCACCTTGACCTCTGAATCACTCTTTTAACACTAAATCCTAAGCTTCTCCACCAGGAGAATGTTCTGTAAGACCCAGATACAGAGCAAATGTTGAGGGCCACTAATCTTCAGGCTGGGACATGTGTGTGCAGGGACATGCTTGTGTAAGTTTTAGGATTTCTAGAACGTGTCTGTAGAGATGTACTATTTCGTGTCCATTTTCTTTCACTGTCCCCTTGCCCACTCTCCCTAATGTTCCTCTCACCTCTCTCCATTCCGTGTCGTTGTCCACATCTCATGTTTTAGGGTCTACTCTATGTGGTAATGGGTCCCCTGAGCTTCCCCAGCCTTCCTGTTTTGGTGTACCTGAGACAAGATGGTAACAGCCTTGGTACCAAAGGAACCCATTTATTCATGTATTTATTCACTCATGCATTGAAGACCGTACAGTGACCCCACAAGAAAGATAAAATTTTTACTTTCGTGGAGTTTACATATTAGCAGGGGGAGACAGTCAATAAACAAAAGAAGAAAGATACAAGAATACAGCAATAACGAGGAAGGTTGTGATAAAACTGAATCAGGATGATGTGATAGGGAGTAATAGGATGCTACTTCAGTTGGGAAGGTGAAGGAAAGGCCTGTGTGAGGAGGTAAGTTTAGACCTAAACAAGAGGTCCAGCTCCGCAAATACTTAAGGGAGGAGGGTTCCAGGTAAAGGGAACAACTTGTAGAGGGGCCCTACGCAGGTCCAAACTTGGCAGATTGAAGACAGACAGTGGGGCAGATGATAGTGAGTAGAGGGGTAGAGGGTGTCCCAGACGAATCCAGATCATGTAGGGTCTTGCAGGGCTCAGTGATGTTATGGGAAGACAACCAGTGGTTCTGGATCGAGAGGTTATAGAACCTAACTTACGCTTTGAACAAATATTTTGGTGGTTGTGTGAAGAATGGACTGGGGGTGGTGGAAATTGGTAATGAGATTAGAAGAGATTAGGGGGGATTGCAGGTAACCAGGTAAAGGACGATGGTGCCCGGGTTAGGGTGGTAGAGATGACAGTAGGTGGATTTTGGATGTGTGTTAGAAGAAAAGGTAACAGATGTTGTTGATGGACAAGCTGTGGGGAATGAGTAAAAGGGACTCAAGATTGCTCTTGGGTTTCTGCCTTGAGCACACGGATGTGTGGTGATGTCACCAGTTGAAACAGGGAACCCTGGGAGAAGAAGTCGGGGGTGGGAAATGGAGAGTTTTATTTTAGACATGTTAAATTTAAGATATTTATTAATGAACTGATTAAAGCCCCCATCTCATACTTTATATGTAGCAGCAGACAAAGGACTATGAGATCCCAAATGTTGCTTTCCTTTTCAATTCTTTGTTCGGAAGGAATAAAGAGAAAGATAACTGAATACAATATTCAGTCTTTTGTAAAACACTTTTATGTTCAGAGGTTTGGCAGTAGAGCCACATCCTTCCTGGGCAGGTGTAAGTAGCCAATCAATCACCGTGTCACACTAAGCAATTGTTCAGGGGGCAAACTAATTAAAAATTTAATCCCATGATTTTCATCTTAATCTTGTTTCCCCATTAGCTTTAATCAATGCCCACAAACACAATTTAGCCGAACTTTTCATTTAGATAAATGACTGAGTAGGGTACCTAATTAGTCTGTTTGTTATGAACCGCTTGATAACTAAAATTATGCTAATTACTAAAAACCACGCTCTAATTTTTAAAGCATTTTATTAGCACAAAAGCTATGGCCCTGTTATCAAATGAAATGTTCTTTTTCCGTTACACTCACCAGTTGTTCAGACCTGTTTCTCTTTTAACTTTCAGAAGTCAAGTTGCAGTGCACTTGAGAAATGTCTGCTCAGCCTTGCCTCGCACTATAACACAAATGATAATGAAAGTTGTACCAATGAGAAGATTTCATGATTTTCTCAGCTACTTGGGTGCTTCCATCCTGGCGGGGGGGAAAAAAAAAGTCAGGCCAGAAACCACTTAAAACAACTAAGCAAAACTGAATGTGGGGATGTGAGGAATGGTTTGAGGAAGGGAGAACTTTTCAGCTTGTTCCAATGCCAAGGCGGCTGCTCTCACTAGGTCTGCAAATCAGGGGCTGTTCATTTGGAGACTGTCTTTCATATCATCCAAGGCAAAATTTCTACCGCTTTCAAGTCCCACAGCACCTCTGAGGATACCCAAATCTTTACGTTCCTTCAGTAAAAGTATATCTTCATTTTAAAGACCAATGTCAATGGCTCTGAACTCCTGCAGCCTTTTCAGCCCTTTTAACAGTGCGTTCTCCACTTGGGTTTTCACGGCCGTTTCAATAAAAGGGTAAGAAAAGTGGAGAACGGTGCCTGTCATCAATGAAAACCAATAAGACTCCTTCTCATGCTGGGCATGGCCTCCAAACAGGATAGGTTATCTGACGGCACATGTAGGTGGTGGCGGGGCACATTTAATGAATCAACCTTAAAGGAAAAGAAAACTGTTTACAGGCTGCGGAGCCCCGTGTACATTTTATGGCGATGAAGTCCTGGCTACTAAGATCACTGTCTCTGCCCACACAGCGCATCTGCCACTTCCAACAGCCCAGTAAAGAACCAGTTCTGGGGCGGGGTTTCAACACAAACTTCTTTGACCTGCGTCCCGCCTTCGTCCCTCCCCTCTCCGCCCCTCGGACACCCGGACGGCCCTTCCCCTCGACCCCCTTCTCACCGACAAGCCGCTGCGGGTAGAGCCTCGGAGCCACTCTGCCAGGCTGCGCTGGAGCAGAGGCAAGAACAGGAAGGAGAAAAGGAGCACAGACTCCCCACATTCTTAATTTCCAAGGACCCCGGGGCAATCGGAGAGGAAGTGACCGCGCTCCGCACCGGAAGCGGAAGTGGAAGTCGGGCGCGGGTCCGGGCCGCCGCCATGTTGTGTGTGGCGGATAGCTAGTGCAGCCCTGAGACTCAGCTCCA